GGGAGCCCCGTGTCCCTCCCCGCCGAACCCACCCGAGGCCGCCGGTGTGGATTGGCCTCCGGGGAGGGCTGTTCCCAACACCAGCTCTGCGCCTTTGATGTTCTCCCTAAAGCCTTTATTTCCCCGTCCTGCTTTTCCAAACGGAATGACCGTCCAGGTCATCTGTCTGCCCTGCCCTTCCCAAGGATAATTCCGGAGCTGCTCCATCACAGCGTGATGGAGGGGCAGAGACCTCCCAGACCCGACTCCCACGGAATTAGCGGTGCGGGGGGCAGACGCTGCCCACCCCCAGCTGATGCAACCGCAGGCGTTAAAAGCAACCTGCTGTTTTGCAGGGGAACAGGCCCAAAAAGAATCTCGGCTTTGATTTCGGAAGGAAGCCAGATGCCAGCGCCGAGGTTAACGGCTGCTGCAAATGACCCTCTAACGCGCCGGGCGCGAGGAGGAGCCGCCGGCGGCGGGTGACGGAGCCCAGGGGAGCTCCGCGCTGGGAACCAGACGCGTTTGTTTATGCGCCGCCTCCGATGTGGATTGCGGATAATTGGGGCTGCGCTGGGATGAGGAGGGGGAAGCGGCGGCTGCTGGGCCGGGGAGGGGAGGGGAGGGGGCGGCGCAGCGCCCACGGCCACCTGGCTGTCCCCTCCGGCCACCCCGGAGCAGCCCGTGTCACTCGGTCTCCTCCCCGGCCACCCCAGAGCCCTCGCGCCTCCTGGTCACCCCTCCAGCCACCCCAGAGCATCCCGTGTCACTTGGCCACCCCCTCGGCCACCCCAAGGCCCTTGTGCCACTTGGTCACCTCCCTGGCCACCCCGGAGCACCGTGTGTCACTTGGTGACCCTCTCTGGCCACCCCGAGGCCCTTGTGTGTCTCGGTCACCCCCTCCGGCCACCTGGAGTGTCCTGTGTCACTTGGTCACCCCCTCCGGCCACCCGGAGCATCCCGTGCCACCTGGTCAACCCCTCTCCTGCTCAGCACCTGCAGGGCTCATGCCCTGCCCCTCTGCTCCCTCTTGCCATCCCGCTCCCATTCCCACTCCATCCCAATCCACACGGAGAACAGACAAGGAAAGCAGGGGGAGGGAGCCGCCGGAGCCGCTTTCCCTTATTCCCGCTGAAGGAATCGAAGTGGGAGCTCAGGGATGCACCCCATCCCACGCAGCATGTCCCAGCTGCCACGAAAGGGAGGGAATTGCATCCCGGAGAGACAGGTGGGAACAGGAGGTTAGCGGAGGTGGTGGAAATCAGCAGAGGCCATGGAGCTTTTTGGAAATATCGAGTTTATTGCTGAGCTGCACAACCGCACCCCTCCGTCGGATCCCATCCAGCGAGTGGCCGCAGGGGTCCGAGCCAAGCCGTGTCTTTCCAGTTCCGCTTCCCACCGGAATAGCAACCATGTGCCAAAGGAAAAGCGCCACCTCCCAGTGCCCAGCGCCCCCAGACCTGGCGCTTCCCATTGCTGCCCGTGGCAGCGGCTGGTCCCCGTCCTCGTGCCACCGGAGCCTGGTGGCTCTTTGCACCCTGGGCTGCGTTGGTGGCACGAGAGACTCCTCTCTCCCTGCTCCCTTTGGAGCTATCGCTGGGAGGTAGTTCCCAGCTCCACCGCTTAGTCCTCGTGGATGCTCCTGGGGTGCATCCGTGGATGCTCGCAGGGTTGATCGGTGGCCGTTCGGATGCTCCCGGGGCCGCTCCGTGGCCGTTTCCCGGCATTCCCAGCCCGGGAGGAGCCCGCTTCAGTTGCAGCCGCACTCCTCGATGACCATGTCCTCGTGGTGCCGCACGACGAGCTCGCCCTTCTCGTAGTAGAGCATGGAGAGGGGGCTCATGCGCACGGGCGAGCACGCGGGGCACGGCACGTGGCCCGGCTTGTAGAGCCTCAGCAAGCTCTGCGGGGAGAGACGCGCGTGAGCGGGGACGGCACGGGGCGGCAAAGCGGGAACGCGGGCGGAAAACCCTTACCTGGATGTACGCGTGGTTGGTGGGCTTGAAGGTCTCATCCACCGGCGACGGGCACTGCCCCTCGCAGCGGTAGGCGTTGTATTTTTTGGGGTAGACGATCCAGCTGCCCCAGCCGGTCTGCTCGAAATCCACCATCATGTCCACCCTCCTGCACAAGGGCCTGGTGTCCTCGGCGGCGGCGGGCACGTCGCTCACTTTAATCCGCTGCTTTTCCTTCCTGTTCCTCCGCTGGCGCCGGCCGCCCGGCTCCTTGGAGCCGCCGTCGCGCAGCACGTGCTTGGAGGCCTCCGCCTCCTCGGCGCTCGCGTCCAGCGCGCTCGGCACCGCCGTGACCGGGACCGTCTCCACTCTGCGCGGCGCCGGGACGCCCCGGGGACCAGGAGCCGCCTCTTGGTGCAGCCAGGCGCGGAGCGCGCCGGTGACGTCGAACACTTTCCAGGAGCCCTGGGTGAAGGAGGAGCTGCCGGAGAAGGTGCCCAGGAGGAGCCGGTGCCGGGCGCAGCTCCGGCTCTGCCCGCACGGCTCCCGCGGGCTGTGGTAGAGCTCCAGGGTGACGTTGCGGGAGCGCCAGGGCTCGGGCAGCCGCACGCGCAGCTCCGCCAGCTTCACCTCCTGCGCGCTCGGGATGGAGCTCATGTCGAAGGAGAGAGCCCAGCGGGAGCCGTGCCGGAGCGCCCCTGGAATGGGAGGTATGATGAGGGATGCGCCGGATGGAGCGCTGCCCCGTCCCCATCCCACAGGTGACAGATGCCACCAGGGTGCCATTCCCACCACCGGGACCTTTGTCTCCGCGGGCAACTTGGGGGGAAATCTGCGAAAAGCAGCCAGTGATCACCCCAATCCTGGCTGGGAGCCCCAATCCTGTCTGGGAGCCAGGGGCAGGTGTCCCCGGCTTTGGAGCCAGAGCTGAGCCCTGCCCTGGGACACGGATGTCTGAGGACCGGGGGAGCTGGGGACAGTGCTGAGCTCAGGGACAGGGAGCTGAGGGCAGTGCCGATCCTGGACGGGACAGCCGGGAACAGGGATGCTTCAGGGCCGGGCTGGTCACAGAGACGGGGATGTCTGGGGACACGGGAGCCCAGGAATGGTGCTGGTGCCGGAGCCAGGGATGCTCCAGGACAGGGATGTCCTGAGACAGGGATGCCTGGGGACAGGGGAGCCTGGGGAGGGTGCTGGGGACAGATGCTCCAGGATGGGGATGCCCCAGGACAGGGAAACCTGGGGATAGAGGAGCCAGAGGCAGAGATGTCCAGGGACACGGGAGTCCGGTGCCAGGGATGCTCCAGGGCGGGGATGCTTTGGGACAGGGAAACCCAGGGATAGAGGAGCCAGGGGGCAAGGATACCCGGGGACATGGGAGCCTGGGGACAGTGCCGGTGCTGGGAACACAGGAGCCTGGCGCTGGGGACAGGGATACTCCAGGAGGGGGTTGCCCGAGGACAGGGAAACCCGAGGACAGCGTAGCCGGGGACACGGATGCCCGGGGACACGGGAGCCCGATGCCAGGGACAGGGATGCTCCGGGACGGGGGATGTCCCGGCAGCGTCCCCGGGGCTCCTGCGGGCGCCACTCACCGTGCGGGGCGATGCTGAGCGCGGAGGCGGCGGCGTCGGGGGCGCGCAGCG